GGCCGGGGGTGGGGGGGGCGTGGCAGGAATGGCCACAGCACAATCCCTTCTCCTCCCTTCTCCTCCTGAGATCTTGGCCACGCATGCACACTAGGCATGATTTTCAAGCCACTAGGCCTGGGACTTGAACCATGGTCAGCCATGTGGGAGTCCAATGACATAACCAGTACGCCATCTGCTGGCCCCCAAAAAATTATTTACAACAAGGTAAGCATTATATTTTCCAGCATATTATTTCATTTTCTCAAAAAATTTTAAATATATATATACATATATATATATATATCCCCCGGATTATTCTGCCTCCAACCTGCAGAAATTCAGTCGAAATGCCGAAAGGTGAGGCTACCATATCAGGGTAGGGCGTGTCTCAAAGGAGCACTGAAAGACCAGAGCAATGGTGCCACCCTTCAGTGACAGGAAGGGGAACGAGATCAGTCAACAGTGGAGGGTCATAGACTATGGGTCATTTTCTCCATGACAATAATAAACCACAGGCCATAGTAGCGCACACACCCTGTAGCAAATTGAAAAACAACAACAACAAAATGTGGAACAGGCATAACAGGGCCCAGGACAGGGCCAAGACCACATCAACACATTACATACTGAACAGAGGAGGAAGAACAAGCGAAGTAGGAGGAAACTAAGGACGAGATGGGGCGCGGAAGCCCAGGGAGGAAAGTATTGCAAAGAAGGGGCAATTAACTGTTTTCTAAGGCAACGAAGAGGCCAAGTAAGCTAAACACAGGGAGGTAATCAGTGGATGTGACACTCAGGAACAGCTGTGACCTTAACAAGCACCCTCGGTAGAGTCTAGAAACAGAAGTCCAATTGCAGGGGCTGGGGGGTCTGGACAGTGGGCCCAGGAAATGTCACTGTGCAGGGGAGCAGAGAATGCAGCAACAGCTGGAGAGAACGCAGAGTCCAAGGAGAGATTTTGCCTACACACAGGAGAGGCTGAATACGCCTGCTCGCGATGAAATGATACTGGGTTCAGAGAGTTAAGTGTAGAACTGAAATCCTAGAGAAGGGGAGTGGGGATACAATACCGACCCCTCATGGCACCAGCAGATGGCATAATGGTTACGTCACTGGACTCCCACATGACCAATGCTGGTTTGAGTCCCAGACCCCATGGCTTCAAACTCATACCGGGCACATGTGCGTGCATGCCCTAACCCTCAAGAGGAGAATGGAGAAGAAGGGACTGAGGCATGGCCACACCCCCTGGCAGGTGATTTCTCACTTTTTTTCTCTCTGTCTCTGTCTCTCTGGCAAGCACATGCACCCTATAGCAAAAATCTCTTAACAAAAAAATGCAATGAAGGATGCTATATTACTTTCGAACTTAACCCTGTGGAGTGAAAGTAAGAGCACAGTGGGAAATTAAAAAAAAAAAAGTTGTGTTTTGAGGATTGTAATGATAGAATCTCAGTGACTGCCAGAGAGTCACCAGAGGTTACCAAAGTGGTGATGGCTTTACCTGGTTAGGGCATGATTTCACTGCCTTTGAAGAGAGTAATTTCCTAGGTTTGAGTCTAGAAAATCCTTTCCTTTTTCTTACTTTTCGTTTTCTTTTCTTTTTTTTAAAAGAGAGCTTTTTGCTATAGGGCGCATATACTCAACAGAGAGACATAAAGTGAGAAATCACCCCCCTGCGGGGATGGCCATGCCACAATCCCTTCTCATCCAGACTCCTCTTGGTATTTTGGGCATGCACGCACACATGCCCAGCATGAGTTTTAAGGGTCTGGGACTCAAACCACAATCAACTACATGAGAGCCAGCGATGTAACCGTTACACCACCTGCTGGTCCTGAAAATCCTTTTCTTAATAGATTTTTGATGTATGATATCTCTGATATTCACTGAAATAATGAAATCTAGGGGCCAGACAGTGACCTAGCAGTAAAAGCAATGCTCTGCAAGATCGGCCCACATCAGAAAGTTCTGGGATTGCACCCAAAAGCTGCGCTGTGTATATCAGGCATGTATTTGCCCATGATCTGGGGCAGGCTGAAGCTGGGTGTGGTCTGTAGCATCGAGACGTTATTGGAGTGCTCGTTCTCTCTTTTTCTCACTCATGGACAAATAAATAAACCTAATAACAATAAATAATGGATTTTAATATAATTCAATTCTTTGTTGCTTATGAATTCCTATTGAGCCTTTTTGCTAGTTTAAAGTAGGTTTAATGTGATCGAAGAGATTTAATTTTTATTTTGTAGGTCATAGCCATTAATTCCTCCTTTTCATAATTTCTTTTTTTTTAGAATTATTTTATTCTATCTTTATTTATTTATTTATATTTTTAAAAAATTTGATCAGAGAGAAACGGAGACGGGGGAAAGTGAGAAAGTAAGCCACCAGGTCCAGGACTTGAACTGCAGTCAGCCGTGTGGATGTGCCCTTAACTACTATGCCACCTGCCGCAACCCCCCTTAATTTCTTTTTTTATTTAAATCACTTTTTATTCCAGAATTTTTTTTTTAAGAGAGATTTTTGCTATAGTACATATGCACTTACCAGAGAGACAGACAGAAAGTGAGACATCACACTATGGGGGAGTGGGGGATGGCCACAGTGCAATTCCTTCTCCTCCATTCTCTCAAGATTTTGGTCATGCACACACATGCACCCAGCATGAGTTTCAAGCTTCCAGGTCCAGGACTCAAACTGCAGTTAGCTATGTAGGCATCCAGCAGCATAACCATTATACCGTCCGCTGGTTCCCAGGATGTTGGGTTTTTTTTTTAATTAAAAAAAAATATTTATCTCTTCCAAGAGACAGTCACCCCAACAGGGTCTACATGCTTTAGGGCTTATGTGCTCACCAAAGACAGAGAGAGAGAGAGAGGAGGAAATATCCCCCAGCGGGATGGCCAGACCGCAATCCCTTCTCCTCCATTCTGCTCTCGGGATCTTGGGCACACAAGCCCATGTGCCCAGCATGATCCTCAAACCACCTTATCCAGGACACAAACTGCCCAGTCAGCCATGAGGAATCCAGCACATTAACCTCCATGCCACCTGTTAGTCCCAATGTTCAATTATTTTCAATCCCTGCTGGGTTATCTCTGCCACTACCCCCTCCATAAAACTTTTCCAAGACTAGATTAATCAGGTACACTTGTACTTCTCAGATGCCAGTGTACACAGTATGGTTTTATATCCATGTATTGTGCAATAAAAACGGAACTATCTAAACCAAAGCTTAGGGGCCAGCAGATAGTGTAATGGTTATATTGCTGAATTCCCACGTAGTCGACCATGGTTCAAGTCCCGGACTCAGTGGTTTAAACTCACACCAGGTGCATGTCCGTGCAGGTCCAAAATCCCAAGAGGAGAATGGAGGAGAAGGGATTGTAGTATGACCATCCCCCTTGAGGGGTGATTTCTTGCTTTCTGTCTCTCTCTGTCTCTACAGCGAGCACACACACCCTACAGCAAAAATCTCTCTTAAAAAAAAAAAGAACAAAAGAAGACACTCTTGGGGTCAGGAGATGGCACAGTGGTTAAGTTGCTAAATTCCCACGTGTCCAACTAAAGTCTGAGTCCTGAACCTGGTGGCTTGAAACTCACACCAGGCACGTGTGCATGTGTGCCCAAGATCCTGAGAGGAGAATGGAGGAGAGAGGATACAGCATGGCCACCTCCCATGGGGCCATGAGGGAGTCCAGCAATGTAACCACTATGCCACCTGCTAGCCCCGCAATCTCTTTTCCTCCATTTCTCCTTGCTGTCAGGATTTTGGGATGTCAGTGCACATTCCTGCCATGTTTTTTGAGCCCCTGGGCTGGTATGCAGATCACATTCAGCTATCTGGGAACCAATTCCCAATAAACAGCTCACTTTCCCTCTCTCTATTTCTGTCTCTCTCTTTCTGGCTAGTGCACACGCCCTGTGGCAAAAACCTGAAAAAAAAAAAGAGAGAGAGACACTCTCAACTATCTTCCTACCTCCATGCCAAGATTTCCACAAAGGTTGTGAAATTAAGACCACTTAAAAATCAGAGAAAAGTCCACTTACGAAAAAGGATCGCTCCTTGGTGGGAGGATTCTATTGGATTCCTCTGGAAGTAGGTCGAACAACGGTCCCTTTTCATCGATGCAGTTTGCAGAGTTACTGTCAGGACTGCAGCGCACCCACTGGTACCTGGCTCTCCGCATAGGATATCCTGGCCGAACAAGGAATGCACATGGTTAGTATCGCTTCCGCAGCTTCCAGTTACTCTCTCCCTAAGAAGTTTTTCATTACATAGATTAAATTTGGTGGAAGGTAAAGTGTGAACACGTCTTGTGCCGGGTGATAAAACAGCAGCACCCACTATGCCCCAGCCTTTCACATGCCTTGTCCTCACAGCAGATTTTTTGTTTTGGTCATTGGGCACGTGCGCTGGCTAGAGAGGAGGGAGGCAGAGAGACAGAGAGAGGGAAAATGAGAAATCGCCCAGCAGAAGGAAGGACCATGCCACAGTCACTTCTCCAACATTAACCTCTCAGGATTGAGGGCAAACACGCACATGTGCCCAGCATATTTTTCAAGTCACTGGGTCCAGGACTGAAACTGCAGTTGGTCATGTGAGAGTCCAGCACCTTAACCACTATGCCACCTGCTGACACCTCACAGCACTTTTTTTTTTAAAGAATTGTTTTATTTAACTTTATTTATTTATTTATTTTGATTTGACCAGAGAAGGACAGAATAAGAGAGAGACAGGGAGAGAGAGGGAAAGTGAGAAAGCAAGCTGCCAGGTCCAGGGCTCAAACTGCAGTTGGCCATGTGGGAGTCCACTGCCCTTAACCACCACACCACTTGCCAGCCCCAACCTCACAGCACTCTTATAAAATAGCAGAGAGTTAGAGTCAGCAGCCTGGACTGAGGTCCCAGTTCTGCTACTCATTAGTTTTTTGTTTTTGTTTTGTTTTTTTTTTTCGCTATTGGGCGCGTGCACTCACCAGACAGACAGAGAGAGACATAGAGACAGAAAGCGAGAAGTCACCCCCTGGAGTGATGGTCACGCCGCAATCCCTTCTCCTCCATTCTCCTCTCGGGATCTTGGGCACGCACGCACACGCGCCCGGCGTGAGTTTTAAGCCACTGGGTCCAGGACGTGAACCGCAGTCGACTATGTGGGAGTCCAGCGACATAGCCATTACGCTAACTGCTGGTTCCCTGCTACTCATTAGTTATAAAACCCGAGGTAATTTCTCTGAGCCCCCTCTGTAAAGTGAAAGTACTAATAATATCACATGTTTGTCACAAAACTTAAATGAGAAAATGCACATAAAGACTTTTATAGAGAGGCTGTCCTTATAGTTCAGCAACTAAATGCTGTTCATTGTGAACTGGGTCCCACATGGTTGAATGTGATTTGAAAAATCCTCAAAAAACATGGCAGGTATATGGACCAATGTGCCAAAAATCTTGACAGTAAAGAAAAGTGGAGGAAAAGAGTCTGAGGGGCTAGCAGATGGTGTAGCAATTACATCACTGGACTCCCATATGGCCAACCTCAGTCTGAGTCCCAGACCCAGCACTTGAAACTTACGCTGGGTGCATGTGTGTGCATGCCCAAGATTTTTGGAGAAGGGATTACAGTATGACCATCCCCGCTTGGTTTCTCACTTCTCTTTCTCTCACCAGCACGCATGTCCCTAAGGCAAAAAACTCTCAAAAGAAAAATAAAGAGAGATTGCAATGGCCACACCCCAACGGGGGGGGGGAGAGGTTCTCTCTCTTTCTCTCTCTCTCTCTGGCAATTAGAAAAAAAATAAAGACTTACCATAGTGCCAGATACATACTACTCATTTGATAATACTATTATTTTTATACTATTATTTCCATTTTATACAAAGGAAAATTGAAGCTACATAGGTGCTAAGTAGAGAAACCTGGATTCAAACCCATATCTGATCCTAAAGCCAATCTCTTTTTCTCATCTCTTTGAGATAAATCAAATCAGCTTCCAAAAGGTTAAGGGATACACAGAGTGCCCTAGTACTCGTGCTGTACCGAACTCCAGTTCTTTTGTTCTAGGGTCTCATGATAGATTTTCTTGTGAGTGGAGGACGTGTTCAACCTCTCCTCCAGCAGAGGGCGATGCAGTCACACCTTACGCTGGCTGACCAGCACTGTCCAATAGAAACTGAAGGCAAACCACACAAGAAGTTTGAAATGCTCTAGCAGCCATATTAAAAAAATAAATAAATAAATAAATAAGGTAAAAAGAGACAGATAAAATTAATTTTAATACATTTAACTCAACATATTTTAAAAATTATCATTTAACATATACTCAATATGAAAGTTGTTGAGGAACTATTATGTATATTTTTGATACTAAGTTTTCTGGATTTCATATATTTTGCATTTGGGCACATATCGCAAGTGTTCAGGAGCTACAGGTAGCTTGGGCAGAAGTGTAGGAGGTCTCCTCTACATATGGCTTAAACATTTGATAATACTTGAATATCAAGCTGAGAAATGGTTTGCTTGGATAAAAAGCTAAACAGAACAAGAAGATAAATGCTTTTTTTTACTTAGTTTTGTTTAGAGGTTTTTGCCTCAGAGTATGTACACTCACTGGAGAGAAAAAAAAAGAAAGATAGTGAAAGGGAAAGTGAGAAATCACCCCCTGGGGGGAGGAGGCCACACTGTAATCCCTTCTCTAATCCTTTGGGATCTTGGGCATGCATGCACATACACATGCCTAGCATGAGTTGAAACCCACCAGTCTGGGACTCAAACAGCAGTTGGCCATATGGGAGTCCAATGATATAACCACTATGCCATCTGCTGGTCCCAAGATCAATGCTTTATGAGGAAAAATCCAGGTGAAAGGCCACATCTTTTATTTTATTTTTTTAAAAATTATTTTATTTCATTTTATTTATTTGTTTTAATTTGATCAGAGAGGGACAGAGTGAGAGAGAGAGAGCAAGAGAGAAAGTGAGAAAGCAAGCTGCTAGGTCCAGGATTTGAACTGCATTCAGCCATGTGGGAATCCAGCATACTTTAACCACCACATCACCTGCTGGCCCCAGGTCACATCTTTTCATTAGTATAATTTTTTTTTGAGAGGTTTTTGCTATAGGGCGTGTGAGCTCGCCAGACAAACAGAGAGAGACAGAGAGACAAAAAGCGAGAAATTACCCCCCAGGGGGGATGGCCACGCCACAGTCCCTTCTCTTCCATTCTCCTCTCAGGATCTTGGGCATGCATGCACACGTGCCCAGCGTGAGTTTAAGCCACTGGGTCTGGGACTCGAACTGCAGTCGCTACATGGGAGTCCAGGGACATAGCCATTATGCCAACTGCTGGTCCCACTTGTATAACTTTGATAAATTAACAAAAACATATTTCTTTTTAAAAATTATTTATTTATTTTTATTTATTCATTCATTTATTTTAATTAGACCAGAGAGAGAGGGGGGGAAAGTGATAAAGCAAGCCACCAGGTCCGGGACTCGAACCATGGTCAGCCATGTGGGAGTGTCCAGCACCTTAAATACCACGCCACCTGCTGGTCCCACAAAGACATATTTCTAAAATACAAAATTCCTTCAGAGTTCAGAACTCAACTTTTAAAATCTATTATATAGAGAGGGCCAACCAGTGGGACAGTGATTAAGGCAGGTGGACCCCACATGGCCAACTGCATGATTCAAGTCCTGGATCCGATGGCTTAAAAAACATGCCAAGCTTGTGTGCCCAAAATGCTGACAGGAGAATGAAGAAGAAATTGCAGTGTGGTCATCCCCTCTTAGAAGTGATGTCTCACTTTATTTTTCTTTCTCCACCAAGTGCACGTGCCCTATAGCAAGGGCTAGAAAAAAAATTTGTATAAAGAAGTCAAAGGTAGAAGTCCTTCCACTCCAAAAGTCTATCTAACTTAAGGCTGATGATATTAAATGTACTTTGAAATAAAGAACAAGGCGATAGACACAAAATTCCTGACATAGCCACTCAAGAGTATGGACAAAATGTGAAAATTCTTAGTTCTAGGACCTGAAATTGTGAGAGTATCTTTTTCTTAAAAAAATATTATAGAATTATTATTTAATTTTATTTATTCATTCATTCATTTTAATTTGACCAGAGAGAGACACAGAGAAAGAGGGACGGAAAGTAAGAAAGCAAGCCACCAGGTCCGGGACTCGAATTATAGTCAGCCGTGTGGCAGTGTCCAGCGTCTTAACCACCATGCAACCTGCTGGCTCCCATGAGAGTATCTTGATTGGGTCTTAAGGTAAATGTTTTAAAATTATCATAATTAAAAGAAAATAAATAAAAATGGGCCAGTGAGTGGTATGGTGGTGAAGGTGTTGGAATCCACATGGCTGACTACACATTCTAACCCTGGATCTGGCAGCTTGAAAAACACTGGGTGCATGCACAAATGTACCCAAAATCCCAAGAGGGGAATGGAAAAGGGATTGTAGTGTAGCCAGGGGGGTAGGGGTGATTTCTCATCACTTTTCCCCTCTCTGTCTCTCGGGTGAGCACACGCGCCCTACAGCAAAAAATAAATAAAATAAAAGGGAGTACGCTCATGGACAGAAATGTTCTCTTCCTGCAAGATCTACTGGCTTACCATGTAGTGAGTTCCAGAGGAAAGAATGGTTTTCACTTAGAATCGCTTCCCTCAAGGCCCCTCACCACACACAGTCACTAGCCCTGCTTTATGAAAATACTTCCTATGTGTAAATAATAGCAGAGCAAACAACCTTCTCCTGTAGTCTCTTTGTATCTCTTTATGTTACCGATTTTTCCCGACATAGTCACGGTTTGCTAATTTTCTATTCTTAATGGAAACATATTGCAGGCATGTTAGAGAAACTTAAACAGAAACTGCTATCATGGTGGGGCTGGGGGGAGACCATTTTGATGAACTCAAAACAGTAGCATTTAAACGGCTACTGTGGGCCAGTCAGTGGCATGGTGGTTAAGGTGGCTGGATCCCACATGGCCAGCTAGATTGTTAAAGTTCCCAGGCCAGGGGCTTGAAAGACATATCAGGCGTATGTGTGCCCATAATCCCAAAAGAAAGAAGAAATGGAGAAGGGACAGGGTGCTTTCTCACTTTGTCCTTCTCAAGCACACACGTGCCTTCTGGCAGATTTTAAAAAATTAACTGCTGTCGTTATCTAAGTTAGAGTTACTTCCTGCTGGTCTATCAGTTCCACAAGATAGATAAGTTTCTCCCTGGCTTGCAGGATTTGACAAGCTATAAAAATCTCCAAGTTTACTTTCAATTTCTCCCTCTACTCATTGCTAAACATTAGGCCAAGGGCTTTAGTCAAAGGAATGGTTTAAAAACAAAATCTAAAAAAAAAAAAAAAGAAAAAAGAAAAAAGAAAAAAAAATCTCTATTCCACAAGTTGCAGGAGAAAGTTAATTCTGCCCTTGGAACTGGACAAAGAGCTCTGCCCTTAATTAGTTGTAAGGGGCCTTGGGCAAGACTCACAAACTTTTTGGAAGGAGCTAATGTAAAAAGCAAATGAAATGATGAAAGTCGGATCCAATTTTCTCCTCTATAAATTGGTGCTAATTCTTCCTCATAAGGGAACATGACCATCATTACCAGAGAAAGGATGTGAAGTCACATTACAAAGAGCAGTGCACTATGTGGAATGGATATCGTGACTGATCTTGAAACAGTGTAGAATGGACACATGGCCCTGCCCTGGCCCCTGGGCCACGCCTGCTCATGGGTTTTTCATCTCCTCTCTCTCTTTTTAAAAGGATTATTTATTGGGGACCAGCAGATGGCGTGGTGGTTAAGGTGCTGGACACTCCCACATGGCCAACCACAGTTTGAGACCCGGACCTGGCGGCTTCCTTTCTCCCTTTCCCTCTCTGTCTCTGTCTCTCTCTCTCTCTCTCTGTATGTGTGTGTCTCCCTCTGGTCAAATTGAAATAAACGAATGAATAATTTTTTTTAAAAAAAGGATTATTTATTTAGTTTTATTCATATTATTATTTTTTTTAATTTGACCAGAGAGAGAGAAATTGAGAAACTAAGCTGCCAGGTCCGGGACTCGAACCACAGTTGGCCATGTGAGAGTCCAGCACCTCAACTACCACGCAATTTCCCAGCCCTCCATTTTCTCTCTTTATGGGCACCTTTGAAAGATGCATACCATTACAGGATTCACTAGCCTCATCAATAATCCCCTGGAGTTCTGTATGAACTAGATTAGCCACCAGTGCTCCCAGGTCTCACACATCCAAATTTCCATTTCTTTGCACTCAGAAGACACAATTTTATAGTTTTACGTGGATTTGGCTTATAGTACAACTAAGCGCAATGGGCTGAGTTGTGTCCAACTCAAAATGCATACTTTAAAAGTTTTTTTTTTAGATGTTTGGGCCTTAAGGTGCATCTGCTCACCAGAGAAAGACAGACAGTGAGAGGGAAAGTGAGAAATCACCCCCCAGAGGCGATGGCCACACGACAATCCTTTCCCCTCCATTCTCCCCTCGAGACCTTGGGCATGCATGTACATGTGCCCAGTGTGAGTTTCAAGCCACCGGGTCCAGGACTGGAATTGAGGTTGGTCATGTGGGAGTCCAGCGATGTAACTGCTATGCCATCCTCTGGACCCCATATTGTGAAAGTCTTAACCCACTGTACCTCACAACATGACCTTACATGGAAACAGGGCCATTGCTGATGTGATCAGCTAAGATGAGCTCATTAGGCTGGTCCTAGTCTGCAACGAGTGGGTGTCCTTACGAGCATAGGGTATCGGGACACAGACGAGGGGAGGGAAGACGAAGGGAGAAGGTGCCATCTGTAAGCTAGAGAGAGGCCTCAGAATGAAACCAACCCCGCCAACACCCTGATGGTGGATTCTAGCCTCCAGAGCTGTGAGGAAATAAATGTCTCTTGTGTAAGCCCCCCAGCGTTCTTCATCATGGCAGCCCGATCACTCACACAGAAACCTAAGAAGATTTTGAATATGCTTAGTAAAAGCAAGCAAGAAGCCTAGTTAATTTGATCAGTCAACCCAATGGGTTAAGTAAACTTGGTAAAAGATGAGAGATGTTATGGAGACATAGCTGGCATCACCCGGAGGTGTGATGCAAAGGTGTCCCAGCTCCGCACTGCAGCCTGTGCTGCTGTCACTCACACAGCCTCGCCTGGGCACAAGTTTCCCTTTGTGCTCAGATGCAGGCACAAGTCCTTGAGCCCAGCACCAAGTGCCCTTCTTTGGAAACACCCTAGTTTTCAGATTATTCACCGTCTCTTTTTTTGTTCCCTTTTTCAACAAAAAGTAACGCTCTCATTAGGAGGTGACATAAATGCTAGGATTTTCTACGATGTCATGATGGTTTCTTTCTTTCTTTTTTTTCATTTCCTTCTAACAAATACATACTATATTAGGAAAGTTTTTGTTTTCATTTTAGTTTTACCTATTGAATCTTAGTAGGAAAATGTAATATTTCTGTGGGAGTTTGAAAATAATATATAATATAAAACATAATAATATAAAGTCTTGCAGCTCTAGTTGGGATATACCCAGCACTAACGGGTCACTCGAGTCTGAGCTACAAATGTGGACCTTGTCAGAGGCCATGTAACTGGGGTGCTATTTCGTCAAGCCGAAGGTACTTCTTAAAAGACCAAGTAAAGTCTGTTTCTGCAATCAATGATGTTTTATACTTTAAAAATAAACAGATTATGAAAACTTTCAACAATATTAATTGTGTTGTTCTTCAGTGTTAGCATAACTAGAAGAAAATTATCTTATAAATTCCCAATATATACTAAATGTCTCTGAGATCATCTGTTAGATTTCATGTCCACCGGAAGTAAGAACATGACAATTGGAAGTCACTTCGAAGAAACAAATCCAGGACATGTGTGTCACTGTGACTCAATGTTTCCTTTACCACTTGGGGGAACTTAGTGTTTTTCTACTGTGCATAAATTCTACCATCTATTTATCAGGCCATACCTTCTGCTTTATTCAGACACAATTTCTTATTTATCAAAGAAAAAGAAATTGTATTTTTTTTTTAAAAACTGATTGTTTTCACTGTCCTAGTCATTAAACATCGTTCTTGTTTTTGTTTTTGTTTTAAGAGAAAAAAGAGCACATGCGCTCACCAAAGAGACAGAGATAGAGAGACAGAAAGTGAGACATCATCCCCACAGGGGGGGATGGCCACGCTACAATCCCTTCTCTTCCATTCTCCTCTCGGGATTTTGGGCGCGCGCACACACACACACACACACACACACACACACACCCAGCATGTTTTAAGCCACTGGGTCTGGGATTCGAACCTCAGTTGACTACTTGGGAGTCCAGTGACATAACCATTACGCCATCATTAAAGCTTTTAATCTGACGAATTAGCCCTAAATGGTAGAGAAGCCTAAGAAGATGTTTCCAAATGTTGTGTTTCGCAGAGTGACAGCACAAGTGCTAACATTATTTGGCCTCTCTAAAATCCGAGCAGATTTGCAACCACTCTGTCTAGCCATAACTGAATTTTCCATAAGAACCAAGATGAAAAAGAGAAATATACACAGTCAAATGTGCCCATCTGGAAAGCAGCATCTGTCAATGTTAAAATAATGATGACGCCACCACAATGTATTATAACTTGGGATTCCTGGGGCTCAAGGGTAAGGGAGGCTCCAAAACACCAATATGCTGTCTCCTTCATGCAAAAGACACATGGGTCATTTTCTATGTTCCTTTCCTGAACATTTTAAATTTGTCAACCACACATTTTCATCCAGAAATAAAACAGCGCAACTCAATCATTGTAAGAGTTTACAAGACCACACCTACTTACAGGTGAATCCTACTTGGTACCAAACTCAACTCACACAAAGGAGTTCGGTCACCCCAAGCCCTTCTGTGTCTCTGTTCCCACAGAATTACACATTCTGTATCTTAGCCTGAAAGCCGTCATGCAGGTGGATTCTGAGGCTTAGGGTGAAGGTGTCAGGAGAACTCGCCTCCAGGTCTTACCTTGCACTGAAGATTCCAAAGCCAGGATGAGGAAGAGGGCCAGGACCATCCTAGTGCACTTGAGTAGCTTCTGCATCATGACCGGCTCCGTCCAGCCCCCCGGCTGCTCACCAGCCTCACAAGTAAGAAGTGCAACAGGGTGCTTGCTGTCCCTTTTAGAAAAGGTTCCAAAACCTCAAACCCTGCCCAGAGTACACGTCACAATTTCCTGAACAAATAGAAAGAGATCCACATCAAAACCCAAAAAGAGAAAGAAAAAAAACACACACACACAGCAAAATAACTATTCATACCCATTATGAAACTGCGTTGGACTCTCCCCAGGCCCATTTTTCAAAAGTTTTGTTGCTTCTGACTTGCCTGTTATAAATTTTTTCCCATCAAAACAGTAGAATCAGCATTTGGCAGTTTGTTTTTCTTTCTTCAGGTAACAATCTAAACACAGGCTTTGCTTACATTAAGAACCCACTTCCACCACGGTATCGATGAGACGGCGGGCTGGGTGCTGCCTTTTCATTGTGGAGCGCCTTCGACATAAAATGTTCTAATTTTCTCTTTCATCAAGGAGCACAACTCACTGAGCCACACTCAAGACGTGAACCCTCAAAGCTAAGATCTAGTCCGCAAGAATGAGTTGTTGAATTTCAGAGAAACAGTTTCTTCTTCTTGGACTCAGTTTCTCCCACGGGCTCACCTCAAGGCTGTCCTTCTACCTCAAGAATATAGTGAGGGTTTTCAATGACAAAGAACCTGGTAAAACAGAAAAACTATTTTGCAGTCCTCTGCTCTTTCACAGTAAATATTTCTTCTGATGTGATTCCATGTGTACTTTTCACCACTTCTGATAAAACTAAACTTAACTTTGGCGTCTGCTGCCTTGAACAAGTCAGAGGTCAGAGGCAAGCGAGAGGCTGTCCACTCTGCTGCTCAGAACACAAGAACCCCTGCCCCATGTAAGTAAGAAAACAGTATCTTCTCTGGTCCTGGGGATGGTGTGCAGACTTCTGGAGGTCGGAGACTGGACACTGAAGACGTGCAACAAACACCACAGTTGACCATGCACCCTCGCCCTTCAGGCAGAGCGCTTTGTTTCCTCTGAAGAGTCAAACTCTCTTTCTACATGGATCCCCACAGCTTCCCCAGGCAGTTTAACGCACATACCCACTTTCCATTTTCATCCTGACCCTTGCCTGTCCTTTGATAGGAGGGAGGAGTTTCCCTTCCCTTGTTTTAGGTTTCCTGTCGATTCCTTTACCATTTCCTGCTAAGGAGGGGGCCTCAGAAGCGAACCGCTAAGGAGCTGTGGTGCAAGAACACAGCGAGTGCATGTTCTGACCCTTTTCAGAAGCCCCTCAGAACAAGCCAGAGTGGGTCCTGCAGCCCAGGCCCTCCTTGGGGCACAGTAACTGGCCCTCAGACTCACAGACCAACGGAGCTCCCCATTATGGAATGAATACTGGTTTCCGTTTGAAATATCAGCCATCATGCTTAGTCCCTAACCCCTTTCATCCTAACCCCTAATTTAAAGCTCTGGCACCAAAACAATAGTTCCTGTCAATAGCTACAATAAGTTTCCTGCAAATCCTCTGAGCTGATTAGAGCTTATGCTTTAAAATGGTCATTGTGGGGGCTTTTTCCATATGGGTACTTCATTTTTTCCCCTTCTCTGGGTTGTGGTGATTTAAGAGAAAGAAACTGCAACAATCGTAAGCCTTTGCTCTTCTCCCATTATACTGACAACCGACAGTTTCTTTTTCCAAATAGTCTTCCTCCAGTCTCGTTTCCCCAGTCCTCTTCAAGTTATGGGAAGCAGGACAGATGCACGCAGCACCTGAGACCATGAGTCCGGGTTCAAGCCTGTGTCTTTCACTTACCAGTTGAGCAACGCTGGACTGCTTCCTCTTTTATTATTTTTTTCAAAAGAGTTTATTTATTTACTTATTACTTCCATGTGAGAGAGACAGAAACAGAGAAAGATGGAGGGACAGCCCACCACCACCCCACCAAGGTCACAATCCAACTCTGGCCTCAGCCAGCTCTGGATCATGGACACGAGTGTGCCTGATGTACTCAGGGAGGTCTCCAGATGGGAACCCAGAACCAAACTTCTCGCGGGTTGGCCTTACAGAGGGTCACATTTCACTGCTGCACCTCTGGCCAGCCCCCAAGGGCCACTTACTCTTTTTTTTTTTGGAGAGATTTTCACTGTAGGGCGCGTGCGCTCGCCAGACAGAGAGAGACATAGAGACAGAAAGCGAGAAATCACCCCCCGGGGGGATGGTCATGCCGCAATCCCTTCTCCCCCATTCTCCTCTCGGGATCTTGGGCACGCACGCACACACGCCCGGCGTGAGTTTTAAGTCACCGGGTCGGGACGCGAACCGCGGTCGACTACGTGGGAGTCCAGCGACATAGCCATTACGCTAACTGCTGGTTCCCAAGGGCTACTTACTCTTGATGTTCCCATCATTCTAGTTCTAGCAGTGGTGGGGGAAACCAATGAGAGGACGCCCATGATGCACGTGGCACACTGTGGGGGTTGCATGGGCCGCTCTCCTCTGGGCTAGGCACCATTCTCTTTCACAAAGTTCCTTCCATTAACAAAGAGGACGCATGTCTTCCCCTAAACCTTAACCTCTACAGTATGCATTTTATGATTTTTTTTAAGGTTTTTGCCATTAGGTGCATGTGCTTGCTGGAGAGAGACAGAGACAGTGAGAGGGAAAGTGAGAAATTACCCTGTCCCCTGGGGATGGCCACACCTCAATTCCTTCTCTTATCCTCTATTATCCTCTCGGGATTTGGGGCATGCACACTGGCTCCTGGCATGAGTTTCAAACTGCTAGGTCTGGAATTCAAACCATGGTTGCCATGTGGGAGCCCGGCACCTTAACCACAATGCCATTTGCTGCTCCTGCATTCCATAAAGAAAACAAAGTCAGGCTACCTGGTGGCCTGGTGGTTAAGGCAGCTGGGTCCCACTTGGCCAACTGTATGGTTCGAGTCCAGGATTCAGCAACTTGAAAAATACGTCCAGTACTTGTGTGCACTTGTACACCCAAAATCCTGAAAGGAAGGAGAAATGGAGAAGGGATTACAACATGACTATTCCCCATGGGGAATGCTTCTTACTTTCCCTCTCTGTCTCTCCTGCAAGCACACATGCCCTCTGGCAAGTTTTTAAAAATTCTGTTCTAGACTTAATCCTTCATTTACTAGGCAGCCTTAAATACACTTTTTGACTTAATATCTAGTTCATTCACCTGTAAAATAGGTGTCCTTATTAACCATCCTGGAATATGAGAGAAACCAGTTCCTGATTGCCTAGGAAAGTACCTGTAACCTCCCAAAGCAACATGAACATTGCTTTTCACTAACTGTTATTTCAGGTTGGTCTTTTTTTTTTTCTTTTAGGAGTGATTTTTGCTATAGGGTGCATGCACTTGCCGGAGAGACAGAGAGACATAAAGCAAATCAACCCCAGGGGAATGGCCATGCTGAAATTCCTTCTCCTCAATTCTCCTCTCAAGGATCTTAAGCACACGCATCTGGTGTGAGTTTCAAGTCACCAGGTCTAGGAGTCCAGTAATATAACCATTACACCATCTGCTGGTCCCCAGGTTGGTCTTCTTAAGAGCGAACTCTGTTTCAATCACTTGACCCTTCCCATATTACAACTCAGCAGAACACTTGTTAAGATTAATTGAGGCTTGGGGCTGGCAGGTGGCATGGTGGTTAAGGGCGCTGGAACTTGGTTCAAGTCCTAGACCTGGCAGCTTGCTTTCTCACCCCCCCCACACACACACACTTTGTCTCTCTCTGGTCAAATTAAAAACTAAATAAGTAAAGTTAAAAAAAAAATTTAAATTGGCTGTCAGAACACATACCAAGGGCAACACAAAACTGCTCAGAGGGACATCCAAGGCTCGTTTTGTTTTGTTTAAAACTCTAAGTTACAGATTCAGCCATTATCAGTCTCCGCAACTTTCTCTTGGTTCTTTATTGAAAGGGTCTTGATTCTGAACAAGGCACTGACTCAAAGAACCAAGCAGCAAGTAGCTCCTGTGCCAAATCTCTAAGTCTCTTGAACTTTGAGGATGACCTTGTGCAAGAATGTTTGGTTTCTATAAGTGGAGGGGCTTTATAATAGTCTAGTTCAACCACTCAGGTAAGGAAAAGTCCAGAAAGGTCACATGACAAGCTGTTAGTCCCACAGCCGGCAAGTGGATGAACTAGGTCTAGAACTCAAGGTTCCTAATTCATACTCGGGTGACAGGTGAGGAATGAAGGGAAACAAGATTAAGATTTAGAAATAGGGGCCAGCAGGTGGTGTGGTGGTTAAGGGCGCTATCCCACATGGTCAACCGCAGTTCTAGTCCCCAGATCTGGCGGCTTGCTTTCTCACTTTTTCCTCTCTCTCTCTCTCTCTCTCCCCCCTTCTCTGGTCAAATTAAAAAATTAAAATTAAAATTAATTAATTCTTTTTTAAAATAATTACTTATTTTATTTATTCATTCATTCATTTTTTAATTTGACCAGAGAGAGACAGGGTGACAGTGAGAGAGAGAGGAAGTGAGAAAGCAAGCCATCAGATTCAGGACTTGAACCCTGGTCGGCCATGTGGGAGTGTCCAGTGCCTTTACCACCACACCACCTGCTGGTCCCCATTAATTAATTATTTTAAAAATATTTGGAAATAATCATAAGTCTTCTTTTTAGTCTTTTTTCTTTCAGAAATACATGCTAAACGGGACTGAGATTTGCTTATAAACAATCCAGCTTGGTTGGGGTACAGTGACAGGAGGGATCACACCACGGGTTTGACAGTTTCTAAAGCTGAACAGCAGGTAAATGGAAGTTCGTTATACTGTCCTCCCTACTTTTACATATACTTATGAAGGAGCTTTCAAAAGTTCATGGAAAGATGAAATTAAAGTGCAGTTTATTTTGGTGCAAACTGTTTTGAAATCTATACATAGTTGTTTTTTTCCCAATACATATTTTCCTGTTAGCTTTTTGAAGACACCTTAGATGTGTTGCATATATTTTTAAATAAGATAAAAGTCACGTAACATTGGACTGCCTGTAGCTTAGTGGTTAGAGAAACTGAATCCCACATGACTGACTGCAGTTAGACTCTGGGCCCTCGAGAAACAT